CCAGGATCCCAATTCCAGTCTATGCAAGGAAGATTTCAACTTTTCAAACTCAATTGCTTCGATACCTAGGATGTGTTGATTTCAGTTGAAGTCAGAAGAATAAGTAGGGGGGAAAAAAAAATAGATGTCTTACCATCACCATGGAGAGTACTTTTCTGTGCTTATCCTATTGCATATTTCCCACTTTAATTGAGCATTGACACTTTATGGATACATGCCCAAAGGCAGTTCCTGAAAAACTGCATTGGAAATAGCCTCAGTCTCCATCTACAAGAGTCTGGGTGAATGAATGAGAGCAAAACTGCACAACAGATCGCCACAACTTTAGAGATTAGTAAAGATCTCTGTATATCTGTCCCATCAGTATTGTTTCAGGATTTTTCCAACACCATTGAAAAATTAGGAAACACCTTGAACACAACACAAAATTTGTGATTGTTCCTCGTTGCTTTGTCTGCAGGAAAGAGATGAATGCAGAAAACTGTACCCAGCTAAAATAAGTTATGTAGGAATATAAAAACTCATATAAGAACACAATTTGAAAATCTACTGGTAACATCAGTTCACCCAATGGTGTGAGCTAAACCCATCCATATTAGTGTTACACTTTCCATCTGATTTTATGTAATTCTCCTACCACCACTTCACAGTAACTCACAAGCTGCAACCCTTGACTCCCACTTTCACAGGCAAAATTCAGGCTTTTTAAGTAAAGTGCCATATTTATCATATTAGTTATTTATTAAATGTTTTACATGTGTAAAATTGTGTTTTATTATACTTCTATATTTTATCTTTCACAGATGATATTTTGTGTCTCCATAAGTCCTGTGATTTTATTTTGTATTTTGCATAATTTCATGTTTTTCAAGAATGCGTACGTTGCATTATTGCAGAACTGACTTAATGGAGTTTCTCCAGGGTACATTTTGCATTGAAAAATTCACATTCCAGAATTGTGTACATATTTTTTGAAGCAAGTAAAAACATATAAAAGGACAGTGCTGATAGACAAAGGGGACAGAACTGATACTTTGTACAATTTTGTCAACAGTTTTAATGTACTGAATGCAATATATGTCAAATTTTGTGTTGAGAAATGAATATCAAATCGTATTCTTTTATCATGTGTATATAATAGGCTTTGCTGATCCTAGTTCGACGGGTTTTTTCCTTTGTCCTCACCCTCTCGGATTGCGTTCTTAGGGCGCCGCGAACTGCGGCGTGGTAGGAACTACACCACCCAGAATACTGTGCGCCGAGCGTGCCTGGGCCTTGGACCAATCGTTGCCCAGGAAAGAGGCGCCTGCGTAAGGGCGCAATACGCCGGAATCTTCCGGCGTCTTTCCGGTGGTGGTCATTTTGGCTGCAGGGGAGTGCGTCCGCCGGTAGGCGGTTCCGGCTGGCTGGGTCCGGGCCAGGTAACTGCAGCCGGAAACCGGTGGAGGTGGTGTCCGCCTGCAGAGGAGCTGGCCTGGTCTCGGTCTGAGCGTCGCCCAGCGATTTGCCACCGCACGCCCGCCGGATCCCGGGCTTTACG